GGCGGGTGAAGCGAAGGAGTGGATGTCCGTCCCGGAGCGCGGGGTGGGGGCTGGTGGTGGTGGGGTCGGTTCTGCAGGTCAGCGCGGCATATACCGGGCCGGAGCCGGACTGGACTAGACGGCAGCATTTAATAATTACCCCCAGGAAAAACAGGGTCAGCGTGTTCCGCGTGGGGCCGGCATCTCGCCGGACACCTCGCTTCACATCAACATTGTTAGTATACTCTGTGACTCTCGACGTTGGAATGACTGACCGGAGCCGTGCCGTTTCTCTTTGATTGCAGATGCTGACGCGATGAGGACGGCCGGCAGTGGATCTCCATACCTCTTAGTCAGCTGATCGTGAGTACGCGGGGAAATCACCCCCCCCCCTCCCCCCAACCCTCTCTTTGCCAGCAAGTATACGGCTTCGACGGCGAAGAGTGGTTTCACCTTTTTACGCGATAGCAGTGACACGGCATAAATGTCTCCTCTAAATGGACAGAAATCGACTGAATTGCTTCCTCGGGCAGTGGAGTGGATCCAATATCTCATGACAGAGAGGTCTTTGTCGCGGAACAGCCAAACGTGTCAGTGAACCAATTATACGCAGAGGAGTCATTCGAATATTGTACCTGTACTGCAGTTATTTCCATCTTCCATGCGCACTGCATTAAAATTTCAATTAGCGGCGAAGACCGCCAGTATACCCCCCCCCTCTCCTCTCTGTGCCCACCTCTCCGCTCCCCCTTTCACGAGCCAGGACCGGGCCACTCCGCTAACCATAGCGAGGAGATCCAAACCTCCGCAGCCTGGCCCGCTGGGCTGGCCCGCTGGGCTGGGCCGCATCCCGCCCGGCCGGCCCCGGCCCGGCCCCCGGGCCGCTAGCGGTGGGGACGCTATCTGACGCTACAGCGGGCCCGCCGCGCCGCGCCGCGCCACTGGAGGCTCCGGGCCCCGGGCCCCGGGCCCCGCACCTGTACCTGGACTCCGCTGCACCTGCAGGTGTGGCCATCCGACCGCAGACCGTATGGCGGCGTGGCCAGGGGGCCAGGGGGCTCACGCCCGGGGCTGTGTGGTGTGGACCCCGCTAACCACCTCACCTTCCCTACCTCTGCCTCCCTTTCCAACGAAACCTAAGAAAGGATTGGACGAATCCAAAACTCGCCAAGACCCCTTGCAGCCTCTACTAAACTGCCCGATCGAATGGCCCTTATCACCACTCCCCGAGTGAGAAACGGTAACGACTTACTGTTAAAACCTTACGAAGAAAAATACCAAACCCTTCGTAGGTACGAAAGATTAGGAGACTTCGTAGGTACCAAATTCTTCGTAGGTACGAGGGATTTGGCATTTTGCTTTGTAAGGTTTTAACCGTGCTCTTCGTGTCAGTAAGACTCCGCTTTTGTTGCAGACAGCGGACGCGATGCCGTCCTCCGGCGCTCCCCAGGGCGCATGGGAGCTCAACACCATGGAGAGGAGGTACTCGGTGCCGCCCGGCTCGCACCACCGGTCCTCCACCGGCATGGCGCCGCACATGGGCTACCACGAGCCGCCCTCGTCGGGCCCGCCCCTCGGGCCCCCGCCGCCGGCCGGCCCCCCGCCGCCCCCGCGCCCGCACCACCACCAGCGCTCGCACTCGGGCCTCGCCATCCCCTCCAACTCGGAGGACCTGCACGCCTGGTCCATCTACCGCCAAAACCTCAACTCGGACTTCACCGACTCGGCGCTCGGCTCGAGCGAAAAGTCCCCGCTGCCGTATGGTAACTTCCAGCTACGCGACTCCACAGTCCACTCGATTCTGAGCCACCCGAGATACGGGCCAAAGTGAGTA